CTTATAGATATTCACGTGAATCAGATATAATATTATGTCACGCGACATCTATGCAGCTCTGTTGGCCCATGCCTAGTTTAGTACACCGGCCGGATTAGTTTAGCACATATGCGAAACGGCCCATCGAGCCATTAATAATTATGTTATGTTGATACGTAATTATGTTAATTGGTTGTATTACGGACGGTGGTGATGATTATAGGCGGTCATCTATACATGACTGTTGCATGGCGACAGTGAATGAATAACCAGCCTCCAGACCAGCGCGTGCATGTGACGCTGGATTGATCGATTTGCATTAGAAGCATGTACGTGTAATGTGTATAATGTGTTATAGATGTTTAACAAGCTCTGATTGCACGCGTAACGTAGATATTGCACTGTCACGATATACCAGATTGTATTTCGCGATGTTTTATGCAATTTTTTAAGCAGTATATTATATTTTTTATATTGCATCAATATTCCAACACGAAAAGCAAGCGAGCGCGGTCATATTTCACTGAAGGATGTATTCTGCGTCAAGCTTAAACGATTATATTCAGGTAAGTACGTATTTTTATACGTACGATAAAGCTTTTAGTATGGTTTATACTGGGGCAGGAATACATAATAACCAAATTAAATATGTTTATTATCTTGTGTTGCGTGACACCATATTGTATGCACCAAATACCCCCCCCCTCTCTCTTTTCTCGCCTCCCTTGCTCTCCTTCTCTATCTCTCCCTCTTTCTCACCTCTCTCTTTCTCCTCCCCCTCTACCTCTCTTTTTTCTTCCTTCGACCTTCTCCCTCTCTGTCCATCTCTCCCACTTGGGCTTCAATTCGTATGTTCAATTGCCGCCGATATAGGCAGTTTTATTTTCGCTTTGATAAAAAGCTACACGTAGCTATAGAAACACTGAATTCGTGGAATGAACGTGAATGTTTTGCACTGAATGTTCGAGAAACAAAAATAAAAGGTAGAGGAAGGTAAGGTAGGTGAGAGACAGGGGTCAAGGAGGTAAAGAAGAAGGGGAGGAGGTGGAGATGTAGATGCGGAGAAGGGGATGATAGGGAAAAAGTGGAGATGGTAGATGAAGGTAAGAATATGGAAGAGGTAGAGGTAGAGAATAAGGAAAGGGTAGGAGTTAGAAAGAGAGGAAGAAAGAGGGGGAGGTGCAGAAATTCCTCTACCTCTATTTCATCCACCTTTCCCTGCTTTACCTGCTCCCCTGATCTACCTTTGTATGGGTTCATACGATACTGTGAATGATATTGCTGTGTGTTTAAAATGAGCTACGTTTCATGCTAAAAGATGTATTCATGAACCAAACAATGGTACTTTCCGTTGTCGGAGAGGGATTTTTTAAATCGACACGTGATTTCACAAATCCAACATAACTCATTGAGCCAAACATATATACTGACTTCCCCTGCAGCAAAACACAGCTCTGGAGCAACGAACGGCATACTAGTGGGCTTCGTAATCTTTATGTCAATGCAAAACAAGAAGGAGCCATGTCGGCTGCAGGAAAGGGTCATCACGTTCGAGTCAACATGTCAGCTCGTCTGTGATAACTGGGTAAAACGGATCCGACGTATCATAGAAGGTGGGCGTAACACATAGAGTTGTATAAATATACTACTCTATATATAACTAATATATAGGGGGTCTAATATATAACTCTATGGCGTAACATCAGGTGTGTCATAATATAGACTATTATATACTATTACATACTAGATATCTATATTATATTATGACACTCCTGGTAACATCATATACTGACACTCCTGCCAACATGTGCATATCAAACAGTTACTACATAGTGTGTACTACATAATAATGAGACTGTTTAGTACCTATAGATGCTGTTACGTATAGATATGTTTAGTATAGAGATATCAAGAGTACATAATGGGAGATATTATGGGAGATATTATCTCCCATTATGTACTCTTGGAGATATTTACTGTCTAGCAAATATGCACCAGCTTCAGTGAGCATAGTGAGCATTCTAAGCATGCGTTCTCAATAATCAGTATTCGATATAATATAATCAGGAGTAAGATAATATAGGATATCCTATAGGGATCCATAATAGATCTATTATTATTCACTCCTGATATAATCATTTAATTGGCTACGACAGTGCCTAAAAGATTAAGTATAATACTATCAATAAATAACACCGTCACCGGAGAGACTATATTCAACATGGCAATGCTACATTGATTTTATTTCGTATGCACAGATTTAGGCCGTAGACCAAAAACTCTGAAGGTATTCATCCAGCCATTTGCTGGAAATGGCAAGGGCAAAGAATGTTACAAAAGGGTGGTGGCGCCACTGTTCCAATCTGCCGACATCGAAACAGACATTACAGGTATCGCTGCGACTGCAATCTTATTTGCATGTTTATCATTAAAAAAATCACTGCAATATTATATATATATATATATTATGTATATTAAGCTAATGAACCTGTATTTTGTCACGTAATTTGCTATTATCTTATATGTTAAATCTTTTCTGTTATCTTCAAGAGGACAGGTTATCAGTGTTCGAAAAAACCCAAGATGATGATCCATTTGTGCAGTGCATCAATCATATGGACATGAGCAAATATGATGGGTACTGATATCTCACTTTCTGTCTACAAATGTATATATAATATGTGCGTGCGTGCGTGCGTGTATCTGTGTAACGTACATACATATTCTATGTATTAATCTGATTTATATCTGTAAATAAGAGGACATTCGACAGTGTTGAAGGTCCTGAAAACATCTTAATTAATATTGTTACCCACAGAATAGTGTGTGTAGGAGGAGACACAACTGTGCTGAAGGTGGTCAGTGCTCTCCTCCTCCTCAAGCAAGTAGACCAGGAGATAGCAGTAGCAAAGGGCTTCACCCCTAAGAAAGTCAACATGCCCATCGGCATCATTCCTACCGGTGAGGAAATGGTTACTGAATGAAATCGGTCGGGCTATGTGATTCGGACTAGTTACGAATCACAATATTTAGTGTTTAATGTGTATATTGTGAACCATGTTGTGTGTGCCTTAATGGTGTAGCTCCTTTCGCATGTCCAGTATGTATGTTCCATATATGTATGTAAGTTCCAGTATGTATGTATCATATGTATGTTTCATATATATATGTATGTTTCAGTATGTATGTATGTTGCAGTTCGCATGTTCAGGGTACTGCTGAGAACGTTGGTAACGAACCCTCAGTGACTAGACCATCAGTGATCACAATTTGGCAAATGCTTTTATGCCGTAAAGCCACATTGTGAGGTTATTTATTATATTAACAGGTGGTGTGAACACTATAGTGTGCTCCTGTCAAGGTGTGGCTGATGCTACTACAGCTGCTCTTCACATAATACTAGGCAAGTAGAGGAATGGTTTAAGGTTGTCACATAAGGAATTTTAAGAGGGATTTAATAACTACCTTAATAACCTCCCTATCTTCTAACCTGTCTCCTATAACAACCCAGGATCATGAACTCCATCCGACCATATATCGATCGATGTAAATGTATTAGTTTATCACCCCACTCTCTATTCTTGCTCTGGCTCATCTTACGATTCCTTTCCTTTCTGGTCCGCTACGACCGCTCTCGTGAGCAAGGCCTACTACGCAAACACTCAACGAGGCACAAGTGCACATGCACGCACGCACACACTAGGCCTCCAGTATTTTTTTATGGCTTCATAATAATGGATAATGATGGATAATAATGATGGATAATTATGGCTTCATAATAATGGTTACAGGTACATATGCCACTGACTAAAATGGCAGTTTATAAACGTATGACATTACGTGCTGTTACTATTCCTGCAGGCCACTCTCAGAGAGTAGACATTAGCTCTCAGTATGGTCGGCGACCAGTTTCCTACACTTCCACTTTAACTGCAGCTATGGCTACAGTGGAAAGGTGCTATCATTTTGTTAACGGTAACCAATCATGATTGGGGTTTGGTTTCATGAACCAAAATGAATCCCCTTTATCGAACTAAGAAATGAACATGAGTTTTCCACCGCCATAGGTTTCTCTACAGGTTTTATTCTTTGCCCTACGATACTCTAATTATTGCGTTTCTTGTAAGTTATTCGATCTGCTCGTAGGCGTTGTGTCACCGTTATTTTGTCTCAATCTAAAGTTATGAACTAAGTAGACAGTTATGAATATAAATACCTTTTTCCTATTAGATATAAATGGATCGGGAAGAAGAGAATACAGGCAGCATTTCTGAAGGCGCTCACGCATGCCAAGTTTCAGAGCTTTATGATTTGTGAAGTGAGCTACATTCCCCAGAGGAGATTAAAAAAAACCCGGCCGAAATAGAGGCTGTGACATGCCGAACAGGGTGAGTGATAAATATTTCAACTCAATTTAAGTAAACCCCTCTGCTTGATGATTGATGGCAACAAATCATTGTTACTATATGCGGAAAATACACACGCACGCACGCACGCACACACAAGTGGTGACCTTAGTTGATGGTGATATCAGCAAACATGACCTGCAAACTCCTGATGGACATTTTCTCACAGACGCCAATTTACTCACATTAATTTACAGGTTATGCTATCGTATCCTCTTTATCACACACCCCTAAAAATATATGCATTTCTTGTCATTCCTGTATGTCTACAGATTGATAGTAATTTCCATATCTACCGAGATCGGCAATGTAGGGTACATCAATCGCATTGCAGCTGCAGCGTGTGCGCAGAGGTTGAACCTGAGAGTCCGACCGGCAGCATTAACTACGACCTTCTGATTGACCCTGAGGATGCATTGTCAGCCTCTAGTACCAGCACCGTGATCCCGGGTGAGTGCACTCTGGCATTAGGAGAGACAGAAAGTTAGTCTTCTGTCTAGTTCTAGTTTAGAAAATTACTTGAGAAAATTTGAAAATTAGTATAGAAAATTAGTTCTCGTTTAAAAAATTAGAGAGAGAGAAATAGAAAATTAGGGAAAGAGGATTAATGATCGCAGGGACAATACAAGCACAAGTTTATCTATGCCATTTTTCTACTGTCCCTGACGAAGTACGATGCAAAATATAGGGGGGGGGCATCTGTTCATCAGGGTATCATTACAATGCCGTCCGTGATCAGATACTCTGTAACATTTAATTAAAATAAGTGGACTATGCTCGCTGAGCAGTTTGCGACTGACTCTTGAGCCTAGTGCTCATTTGCCAACGTGATTTCATTATATTGATTAAAAGAAATGCATCTATTGAACAAACACCTTTTTATGTTCCTTGACTCTCTACTGTAGGTATCACAAGTGTGCTGCTGTATTAAACAGCTACAGATTTTGTTACGACTGTACGACTTATTACTCATGCATCATTGTTCAATCAGATCTGACTAAGGATGAAGACCCGTGGAAGCTTGTGAGAGGCCCCTTCATTAACGTTACTATTTACACAACACCTGGCCTATGCTCAATGGCACCTCTGGGTAAGTTATGTTATCCCCCGGGGGGGGGGGGCACTCCCATTGTTAAGGGTACTGGGGACGTGGCGCTGGACAGGGTATGTTTTCCGAACATCGTTATTGGCACAGGCCCACAGGGTATATTTTCCGAACATCATTATTGGCACAGGGTTATCTAGATACCGCCAGCAAGCAAGCTGATATTGGCACAGGGTTATCTAGATACCCCCAGCAAGCAAGCTGATATTGGCACAGGGTTATCTAGATACCCCCAGCAAGCAAGCTGATATTGACACAGGGTTATCTAGATACCCCCAGCAAGCAAGCTGATATTGGCACAGGGTTATCCAGAGATCGAGTCATGATACAAGATTGCGTGGCACAGCTTTGCTGTTGATCCTGAGTGGCGTCACTGGCGTGTGAGTGCTGCGCGCGGATAAGATGCGCAGGATAAGACGCAGATCAGACGCGCAGTTCCGCGGGATATGCGCACGCGACCGCGGGGATGTTCAAGTATGAAGTGCTGGCCGCAGTGGAGAAGTGCGCCAATTTTTAGGCCCGGCGCACGTCTCCACAGCGGTCAGCGGATGATCTGTAACAACTGGTCTACACTGGCAAACTTTGGAAAACTTTTCTTGGCAAACTCGGAGTTTGCTCGAGTTTGCTCGTTTGCAAACTAAAGTTTGCTAGTGTAGACAGGGCTTTAAGGGTACTGGGGACGTGGCGCTGGACAAGGTATGTTTTCCGAACATCGTTATTGGCACAGGGTATATTTTCCGAACATCATTATTGGCACAGGGTTATCTAGATACCCCCAGCAAGCAAGCTGATATTGGCACAGGGTTATCCAGAGATCGAGTCATGATACAAGATTGCGTGGCACAGCTTTGCTGTTGATCCTGAGTGGCGTGTGAGTGCTGCGCGCGGATAAGACGCGCGGATGAGACGCGCAGTTCTGTGGGATATGTGCACGCGACCACAGGGATGTTCAAGTATGAAGTGCTGGCCGCAGTGGAGAAGTGCGCCAATTTTTAGGCCCGGCGCACGTCTCCACAGCGGTCAGCGGATGATCTGTAGTTTTATGATCTGTAGTCTCGATTTTCCATGACTGTATAGTGTGGAACAATAAATTTGGACAGGACATAACCGAAGTGTGCAATATTGCAACAGGGTATACTATTTAGTGCACTATATTGGGGCAGGGTGTATTTTACGGTGCAAAGCGGTCTGCAACAGGGTCAGGTTTTCAAGGTCCCCGAGGCAACCCCCTACCCAGTTCCGAGGCGAGTGCCCCCCCCGTGTGTTATCTCGCTTAGGTGACTAGATGGCACATAAGGCAGTGACAAGGCCTCTGGGTATGAATTTACCTAAGTCTTGGTATGTGTGGCCAGTGTAGTTTTCACGTGACGAATCAGAAACCATTTAATAGGGCTCGGATAATTATTATAGTTCTACATGTTTTTTATGCCAAGCTTTTCATAGCACTTTTGACTAGTATATATTATATGTGTGTGTGTGTGTGTGTGCGTGTGCGTGAGTGCGTGCGTGCGTGCGTGCATGTGTGTGGAGTCAAAAATTCTGGGTTGTCATAGCATGATGCATGATGCATGATGTCTACAGTCACAAAAAATAACTGACCATTGGGAAGTGCTAACTTATACTACTAGTGTTACATACCGCTTCAGGTCTGTCCAAGTTCACACACCTGGCGGATGGGTGCGTGGACCTGGTGCTGGTGAGAAATGTGGAGAGGAAGAATTTTATTCGCCATTTGAAACGCCATGGCAGCGCTAAGAACCAGGTTATTATTATTATTATTATTATTATTAAATTTGTATTGCCTGTAATTCAAATAGAAATACTGTTCAATGTACTGAAGATAGTCTTTCTCATGGAGAACAAATCTGATAGATGCAACAGATAAGGTGAAAGGACGAAGGTACCAGGTAGAGTGGACGAGGGAGCCTAATGTAACAGAAGTGCTCATTAGCTATTACAAGTTGGAGCGTTATACAACGTGATACTATTATGATCTTGTCACACAGAACCTCCACAGATTCGTTCGTTATACTAGAATTTTGCATCCTTGAATGTTAGCTGCAAAATCTTCTCAATTCAAAACATGACAAAACAAAAAGAGGATTAAAACATGACACTATTGTATGTCTTTCTGTCTGTGCTGGCTACGGTATTCGCAACTATGAATTTAAGCTAATCACTCAAAATTTACAAAACGTTTTTTTCTTGGGATCAAAGAAAAAATGCCATATATCATGAGGATAATTAACGGGTTTATTGCGAAATTGTTGCTCAGAAACGCTCAATCTGAAAAAAAAGATAAATAATAATGAAACTATAATAGTGAAACGTCTCGATTGAATGCGCAGTTTGACTTCGATTTCATTGAGACACATCGAGTGAAGGCAGTTCAGTTCAGACAGATATCAGACTCTGACCGCTGGCTCCACTACAGTGAACCTTTCGATGCCTTCACCCACTCCTCCCCACACAGACGACGACCATCCACGGCAGGTATGCGTGCGTGCGTGCGTGCACGCGTGCTCTCTATCTTATCGCTAGATGAACGCGACTGTCTGGATGTGACGCACTGACGTGAGTGCGTGTGTGCGTGTGTGCGTGCGTGCGTGCGTGCGTGCGTGCGTGTGTGCGCACACAGCCTCGTGAGTGTGCATACACGTGTGCCGCCAATGTGTGTTCCATTCCAATTCAATTTCCATGGCCCATCTCGAAAAAATTCCAAATCAAAATTTGTAGAAATACAAGAATTCGTAGATAGTAGATACGATAGAAGTGTGTTTCTGCGAGAATCAGAATGGCTTATCGTCCTTTATTTCTCAGTGATGGAAATGTCGGTAGCAGATGATGCGATAGGCGTGGACGGAACAGAAGATGCGATGCAGCCTGGTCAGCAACGTGCATCTAGAGATGGGCTTAGCAATCTGAGGGTAACACGTCAGAAACCAGAGAACTGCGTCATTTATCACTTAATAGTGATACCATAGTGATACCATGGTGATACCATAGTGATACCATATAATAGTGATACCATATAATAGTGATACTATAGTGATACCATAGTGATACCATGGTGATACCATAGTGATACCATATAATAGTGATACCATGGTGATACCATATAATAGTGATACCATAGTGATACCATAGTGATACCATAGTGATACCATATAATAGTGATACTATAGTGATACCATAGTGATACCATATAATAGTGATACCATGGTGATACCATAGTGATACCATATAATAGTGATACTATGGTGATACCATAGTGATACCATATAATAGTGATACCATGGTGATACCATAGTGATACCAT